TTTTACATAGGCAAAATTAACTGGCAGGTTGCGGTGCTAACTTTTGTGTGCTGATGTTAAAAAAAAAAAAAAAAAAAGAAAAACTTTTAAATAGATTTTAAACTTGATCTTTAACTTTAATTTTTTATTCTATGTCTTGAAGGGATTTATCCTAATTATCTTATTTTACTTAAATTCTAATCAATTTTAAATTCTCTCTGTTGGCTTTGGGCCTATGAACACAGGTAGTTGTAGTTTGTAAAGTTTTTAAAAAATAGCCTATTTTAGCTAATTTTTTAAGTTCTTCAGATTATGACCAAAAAGGGCTGATTTTGAAACTTATAATGAAAGATGGTATTTGAAAACTTTTGATGAGGGAAATTGCTGCCATATTTACATTTTGAAAAGTGTTTCCTTATTTACCCACTATTGACTTCCTATTGAGACTCAAAATTTTAAGTACAACTGGTAAAGAATTCAATAGATCAAACTCAGTAAATCTGAAGTCACTGGAATAAAGGCCGCTAAGAAAAAAATGTGTCAATTTTAAAGGTCTTTCCTAACTGAAGACCATTTTGTGATAGAGCCAAAGGTTAATAAAATCAGTAGTGAATGTAGCAATTTTACAGATAAGCTATTCACAACAAGTGTAGTTACTTGAATAAAAAGCTAATTCAGTTCTAAAATGCCACATGCAGTAGCAGTGAATAGCTGCTTTTAGGTGCTTTCTGGAGAAGGATAAAATACAGAATCATGGCACTCTTCTCTTCCAGCGTCCCTGGCTGCCTGTAAATTGCTGTGAATGGGGCTGTGGGCTGACAGGCTCTATTAAGACAAACTGCCTTTCTCATCGGAGAGATAAAATAAATCAGGTGTTTAGTCAAATTAAAATACTTCAGCTGGAGCAGGCCCTGGGGAGCACTGATCCACCTGACTAATCTGAGAGAAACTCAAGACAGATGTGGTTTGGGGATAAAGACGACCCCATGGAAAAAAAAAACAAAAAACTTGCTGCACCACTGTCTTTGGAGTTGGAGAATAGATACAGTTTATAGCAGAAAGTGTCAGGCGCACACTGTGTGTGATATTGGATAAAAGCAAGCACGCCGACTTGTAGAGAAGCTGTGTACAGAAGCTTTTTTTGTTGGTTCTCATTTTGCGGTTTATGAAACTACCTCTGTTTTTGTGTGGGAGAGACATTTCTGGCAATGCTTTTTAGAGAATTGTTTTCAGATAGCCTGAAGGATGTGAAACGGTGATGTTAGGCAGCTACTGATGACCTCTGCTGGCCTGGGCAGATCCTCAAGATCTGATCTTTTCTTCCAAGTTGATTTCATCAAACCTAAAAACATAATTTAAGACAAGATTTTCTACATAGAGTTAAGCTACCTCAGAAGAGCATTCTATATGGTCTGTCTTCCTTAACATAGCTTGATGGTATTTAGGTTGCTCTACTATGTCCCATAAATTGCTTCTTCGACAACTCTGACCGTCATAGTTCCTTTGCAACGGCAAAGTTCATATGCACTGAAACCCATATTTTTTGAGATGAAATAACTTGTGTTTGCAGGTTGGTTGGCCGGTGTGATTCAGACTTGATGTTATTTTTATTACAACAGTATAAACATTTGCTTTTAATTAAAATAGAAAATCCAGAATCATAAGTTTTAAATATCTGGGTTTAAACCACTATATGGGAACAAATAGAATGGGTACAGAACAGGAAAATGAACACACACACACACATAAATTAGTCTACACATTTAGAGAATATAAGCTATTATATGGTATAAATTGGTTTCTCCTTAATTTGACCCTCCAGAAACTAATAGCTAAATATATATATATATTAAA